ATCTAACTAGCATTAAACTGATCAAATTTCGAGCAAAACTATCATCGCACCAAATTTAACTTTGGTAATACGTAATATTTTCGTCCATTTCTAGATTATTTTTCTCTCTGTTCTTCTTTTCTGTTGTTCTTTTCTCATCATTCATCGAGTTTTCTCGCATATTCTTATGAATGCATACAAAAAGAATGGTGATCGAAAGAAAATGAGATGTAAGCAAATCGAAAAAAACTTTATTTCATCAAATGTTCAAAGTAGTCACCTTGATTATCTACACACAACTGCATTCTCTCCATCCATTTATCAAACGTTTTTCGATATTCTTCCTTATCCAACGAGTACATAAACTCAGTTATAGCGTCATGTAATGATTGAGAATCGGTTTGATCGCTTAAGTTTAGTTTGATCAAGTCGAATAGCCAGAAATCGCATGGTGATAAATCAGGAGAATTCGGTGGATGGGGTATGATTGTAAGACCTTCCGATTCAAGATAATCAGACACGTACTGATGGATATGCGGCTTGCCATTATCATGGTGGAGCAGAATACGATTTGTACCGTACGAAGGTCGTTGGTGCTTGATTTCTTCCACAAGAGGTTGCAAGCAGTTGTCAATATAATATTCATGGTCGATAGTTTGGCCTCGTTCCACGTGATGAATCAATAGCGGACCAGTTGATTTGAAAAAAATGGAAAATAACGTTCTTGGAGCAAATCGGTCGCGACGAGGTACTGTAGGTGGAGCATCACCTTTTGCCACCCAAGCAGCATTTGATGATTTTCGACCGGTTTGCTTGTGAAAAAACCAAGACTCGTCACCTGTCACCACATTACATAAACGCCACGTTCCATCTTTAAATTTTCTTAAATTTTCTTTACATATTCGAACTCGTTCGTTCCGTTGGAAATCAGTGAGTTCCTTCGGTATATAACGAGCGGTGATTTTGGTAAGTTGCAAATGGTCCTTGATGATTCGCCGAGTAGTGCCATAGGTTAGATCAGTTTGCTCTTGTATTTCTTCTATCGTCACACGAGAATCATCATCAATGATCAGACGGACTTGTTCGATATTATCAGGAGTTGTTACAGCAATGGGTCTGCCAGATCGTGCTTCATCATCCAGCTCTACTTGACCTTCACGGAATCGTTGAAACCATCTTTCAACTGTTCTAAGACAAGGAGCCTGATCGCCATGAACAGAGTACAATTCTTCATGAATAACTCTTGGTTGAATATTAAGAGCAGCACGCATTTGAATGTAGAACCGAATATATTCCTTGCTCATTTGGAGTAATTAAAATGCTAGAGTGTAATTCGACTTTTGTCGTTTGACTTTCTCCGTACTATACGAGCAAAATATGTGCACTCGTGACTAGTGGGATTCGATGGACGGCTCAGTGTCAGAAGAGACGAAAAAAAGAAGAAAGAAAACAGAAACGAAGAACAGAGAGAGAAAAATAATCTAGAAATGGACGAAAATATTACGTATTACCAAAGTTAAATTTGATGCGATGATAGTTTTGCTCGAAATTTGATCAGTTTAATGCTAGTTAGAT